TTAGGGATGTTGTACATAGGGTCGCTATGAGTCGCAAGCAACTCGATGGCACATAGCAACAACAACAATTATTTCTGGGGTGGTGGGGGAAGATGGGTTTAATAGCATACTTAACCTAACTCCCGTTATCAAAGCTGCGGCCAGGGTGTTCATCTAATAAGGCTGCTGGATGACCATAAGGAAACACATACCTGGCAACCAGGATGAGGGAGCTGGAGCCTCATGGCCAGAAACAAGAAGTGTGGTCTAGTCCTCAACCCACCTCTGAGCGGTAAGGTCTTTCTTCCTTGTTCTTACTCTCGCTCTTACTCATTCTTCCTCTCTGCCATCTATTTCACACATTCTTTCATTCACTCATCAGTTATTCAGAGAACTTTGTGCCATGCTCTATTTCAGGCACCGAGAAAAGAGAGGTGACCCACATACCCCAATTTGGTGGAGAATTTACACTGTAACGGGGTCCATGACCAAGCAAATCAACTGTTCTAGAATCCCACTGAAGCCAAGGAAACACGCTAACAAGAGAGATCGTGTTAGCCAAGGAGTGAAATGCCAAGAGAAAAGATAAGCGGGGACCTGCACAGCCTGTGTGGGAAGTGGCATGGGGAGGGCAGCCCCACGGGGAGAAGCAAGGCCTGGGTGTGGACCTGGACCAGGAGCAGGTGTGGGCACAGAACCATCTGGGGAAAGAGTCAAATGGGACAGGGAGACCCGGGTGTGCCTTGCACCCCTAAAGCTGGGCAGCTCATCCTTGTACATCTCAGTCTTTGAAGGCCAGGCCAAGAGCAGTAGGCACCCCTATAGCTGCTCCTGACTGTGACCCAGGCCCCACAGCTTCAGATTGTGGATACAAGGATAGACGCCTCAACACCACAACCCTTACCCACGGGGCACTCTTCTCAGATCAGGCCACCTACGATTCTTATCATGGATCGAGTTCCGCCCCCTCAAAGTATGTGTCCACTTGGCTAGGTCATGATTCTCCGTATTACAGAGTTCCCCATTTGTGATCTGATGTAATTATCCCACATGTTGTAAATCCTAACCTCTGTGAGGTTATTGAGACAGGATCAGAGACAGTTAACGACACAGAATATAATCTACAGGAATAGGCTTTATACCTCTTAATCTATATCTTTCGAGATATATGAGATTAAGCAGTTTAGCAGGGATCAGAGGGGTCTCCTATTTCACAAAGAAGAGCCAGGAGCAGAGAAAGCTTTTTAAGAGCTCTTAGGGCCTGGGATACCTACACAAAGAAACTCATAGACCCATGGAAGACAAGGACCTTTCCCGAGAGTTGACAGAGACAGACATCTCTCCTCAGGAGGTGGCACCCTGAACTTGAACTTCTGGCCTTCTAAACTGTGAGAGAATAAATCATTTGTTAACACCCTTAACTGGGGTATTTCTGTCATAGCACTGTAAGATGACAGAGATGCCTCCCCATCCAGCCTTCTCCAACCTCAACCTGCTCTCCTCTGCTTTAGCCTCCTCTTTATAACCAACACAGTCGGCTCGTGGGTGGAGAAAGTCAGCCTGCCCCTGTCCGGTGTCCCCGTACTACCTACAGCTGTCCTCCATACTCAGCACAGACACAGGGAGCTCTTCAACAGCACAACCACAAGCTTCATCCTCAGCACCGAGCCCACAGCAGGCAAGGGGAGTCATGTAGGGGTAGACATCACAGAGGGGATGAATGAGAATGTTCTTCTATTCCTGTCCCCCCCAGGCATAGCATAAGAGGGCATTACAGGGTGTCAGAACAAACGTAGACTGATGTAGGGGGTGTGCGCATGTGTATGTATTCCAATGTGCAGTGATGGTGGTGGTGATGTGTGCCCTTAATTCTGACTCACGATGACCCTACAGAGGGTCGAACTTCCCCAACAGGGTCTTCAAAGCTGTAATCTTTACAGGAGCAGATTATCAGTTCTTTTCTCCTACAGGGTGGCCAGAGGGATCAAACCATCAATCTTTGGTCTAACAGGTGATCACTTAACCATTGCACCAGCATGGCTCCCCAGGTGTGTAAAGAGACTCCATTTATTTCTCAAAGCCAAGCTAGAAGGGAGTCTACATACATCTCTTGGTTTTCCAGATAACAACCCCAACTCTTCCAAGTCAAAGCTTTGTTCATGTTTGAACACTTCATAACCGCCCTTCCAAAGGAGTGTCTCACCTGCAGCTTTCAGACACAGAGGCACAGAGAGGAGTATTACCATTAGAGAGTCACGTTCTGTGTTTGCTTTTGAAATTGTCTGCCTCCCTTTGCCTCCTGACCTCACTACTCCTTTTCCCTTCTCTGTGGTGTCAAAGATTCATCATTCAAAATATCTTTCCTAGCCAATGATTATTTGTTTATTTTGTACTGAAGTACTTATTGTATTAAGGAGAGAAGCTTAGAGTGGGATATAAGCCCCACTCTGTTGTTGTTGTTGTTGTTATGTGCCATCAAGTTGCGTGCGACTCATAGCGACCCTATGTACCCTGCTCTATCCTGTGTCAATTTTATTGTCTCTGACACACCTACCCCCCTTGCCCCAGTCACTGACTCAAGAAGTTCATGGGACCTTAATGCTAGCTCTCTTTTGGGGATGCCTGCTCTCCAGGTATGCTGCAACTGACAGTCTACAATGATCCCCTTCAAGTCGGAACCAACCCATAGTTGACCCTCCAGTGGGTTTACAGAGGTAGTTAATTGTATAGGAAGAGGTTGCCCATCCTTCTCCCACAGCAAGCTGGTGGACTTGAACTGTGTGTCTTATGAATCACAATATAGCTTTTTTGCCATTAATCTTGTTGTTATTGTTTTTGCTGCTGCTGTTGTTGTTGTTGTTAAGTGCCATTGAGTCATGTAGACTCATAGTGACCTTAAGAACAAACGATCTGAACCCTGTCCTATCCTGCACCATCCTCACACTTCCTGACACACAAGAGCCCATTGCAGCAGTCACTGTGTGAGTCCACCTGGCTGAGGGTCTTCCTCTCCTTCGCTGACCGTCCACCCTTCCCAGCATCATGTCCATTTCCAAGGACTAGCCCCTCCTAACAACATGCTCAAAGTATGTGAGGTGAAGCCTCATCATTCTGGCCTCCAAAGAGCACTCCGGCTGCACCCTCTCCAAGACATATCTGCTTGTTCTCTCAGCCATCCATGGGATGCTCAGTGCTCTTCTCCAACACCACAACTCAACTTAGCAGAATGAATTAAGAACACACCTTCGTAATCGCATTATCATTTGTTACTTCCACTCCAAAGGCCCTGGTTCTACATTACCTAGTAAACTGAAACTGCATATTAAGTAAAGGTCACTAGAAACTGAATTAGCGTCTTTTTTGAATTGAGTTTTGTCTCCCAAAATATGTATCAAAATACCAGCCCCTACACCCTATACCAGTAAATGCAATTCTGTTTGAAAATGGGCTTTTCTTTTCTTTACTACCCAGGTCATACTCAAGAAAGATGGATCCAAACCCTAATCACTTCTGAGTTAAAAAGAGAGCAGAACAAACACAGACACACCCTAGAGAAGAAAGGTTCCAAGGAAGGCCAAGGACTGTTGGTAGAAACTAGGAGAGGGACTTGCAGAAGGAATGGGTGTGCCAATACTCTGATGTGGACTTCTGACCTCTAGATGCATAGGAAAATTTCTGTTCTTTCAGGCCACTAAAGACTTGTGGTATTTCTCTACGGAGGCTCTAAGCTGTGAAGACAGCATCGAAGGATTTTATGACAGTAATTCTGAGCGCTCACACAGGTGAAAAATCACCATCATCTCACCTCTGACTTCTCTGGACTGTCAGGATTAAGGGCTGGGGTCAGGGAGGTGTCCAGCCCTAGTAGATTCTGAATTCTGCTGCCTCGGGTAAGGCTGGCCAGGCGGCTCGCTGGTCCCCAGCGGCTGTACTCACATGGTGACGTTCTCCCCCAGGAAGCAGCGGTTACGTAGCAAGCCCGCCCAGAGCTGCACGCCGATGATGCCGAAGATGAAGAAGACGAAGAAGCAGAGCAGGAGGACGTTCCCCAACATGGGCAGTGTGTCCAGGAGCAGGTTCACCAGAATCCGCATGCCTGAGTGGGGGAGAGCAGAGAAAGGTTAGAGACGCAGAGGGAGAGGTGAAGGCTGCAGGGTAGCTGTCCACTGCTGCTTCCAGGCTGCTCAGGGGCCACTAGACTGAACACTTGCTTCCTGATCCTCAGCTCAAAAGCCCATGGAAATGGCTCTTGGCCCTAACGCACTTACACTTGATTATAGGTGAACAAGCAAACATATAAAGGGAGTAACTTTCATGTGAAATTCTTTTGCGTTTTTACACAACTATGATCTCCAGCCATGACAAGCCTGTGAGGTTGGTACTATTACCTCTATTTTATAGAGGTTCAGAGAATTGAGGCAACTTGCCTCACATCACACAGCTAGAAAGTGTCCAGCTATGTTAGTGCCCTACTACCACACCTGGTGTTCTTTTCAACCCCTAAACCCAAATATCTGGAGGTCTAGGACCCAGTTGCTCACCTGCAAGTGCCCAGTACCCACACAGGCCAGGCCTAGGAAGTACTCAGTAAATTCACCTGTCTCGCATGTCCTTCACCTCTGGGGAAGTCACCTAACCAAGCCAGAACACGTCAGTACCAACCAGAATCACCCTGCTGGCCCATCGCCGACGCATGACAAACCGGAGTCCAGAACTGCCATCAGAAGCATCGAAGGCAGGCTGCGGGGCTCAGATCTGCCTTGGTGCCAGGAAAAGAGGGCTTTTTCCTTCCCAAAAAATAGCTCTGATGAACAAGCCACAGGAGACTCAAGGAGAAAACGGGGGAATGAGAGTGAAGATAAGGATCCACTGGGAGGTGAGAAGGTGATCTAAGGGCGTGTGGTGAAATAAGTTATTATGCGGATGACACAACCCTGCTTGCTGAAACTGAAGAGGACCTGAAGCGCCTGCTGCAGACGGTCAAGGACTGAAGCCTACAATATAGATTGAGGCTCAATGTCAAGAAGACAAAGATTCTCACCACTGGACCAATTGGCAGCATCAGGATGGATGGTGAAGAGTTTGAGAATGTACACAGCTTTATTTTGCTTGGCTCCATAGTCAACAGTCTTGGCACCAGCAGCCAGGAAATTAAAAGGTGCATTGCCTTGGGAAAGTCTGCTGTTAGGGACCTCTCCAAAATACTAAAGAGCAATGGTGTCTCTCTGGAGACTAAGGTGCGTCTGATACAGGCCATGGTCTTCGCAATCACTTGTTATGCATCAGAGAGTTGAACAATGACCAGGGAGGATAAAAGGAGAATTGATGCCTTTGAGCTGTGGTGCTGGAGAAGAGTATTGAGAATACCATGGACTGCTAGGAAAACAAACAGATTCGTCCTGGAAAGGGTTAAACCGGGTGGCTCCTTGGAGGCAAGGATTCTGAGGCTCCGTCTAACATACTTTGGACATGTTGTGAGGAGAGACAGGTCCTTGGAGAAGGACATCATGCTTGGGAGGGTGGAGGGACAGCGCAGAAGAAGAAGGCTCTCTATGAGGTGGATTGATTCAGTGACTGGGATAATCGGGATGGGAGTGTCAGAGACAGTACGATTGGCACAGGACAGAGCGGAGTTTAGGGCTGTTGTACATAGAGTCGCTAGCGACTCGACGGCACATAACAACAACAACAACATCTGTCTTTTCCCTAAGTTCTTAAGAAAAATACCTTGAGACATTTCCCTTTTCCCTAAGCCTTGATGAGTTGTTTTTCGCCCTAGTTTTCTGCCAGAGAGTTTAATTTGTCCAGGTTGACTGAAATTTGCGAGTCATGTTGTAAACACCTTAAGATTTGATGCTGTCTGTCTGATCCTGGGCTGTAGCCTGTTCTGTGATTGGCCTATTTTGTGCATCTTGTAAGGATTGGTTAATATATTTATGCAAATTAAATTATTATGGCCTACTATGCAAATTAAGCGTCTGTGGCCTACCCAGAAAACTTGATCCCTTTATGGCCCAGGTAAGAGAGCCCACAAGGCTGAGGGGGGCATTCACAGCAGGAAAGGGGCCTGCTGTTTGCAGAAAGAGGCTAAGAGGAGTTGAGAAAGTTGTCCTTCCTGACAAGGGGAAGGAAACAATGCCCACTTCTGGGGAACGTTCCAAACTCTGCCTACAGGTTTCCTGATTCTGACCCCAAGTTACCTCCTTAATGGGCTAGAATCCAGTTTAAGAAGTTGTCTGGAGCTGCTGGAGTCTACAGAGGTTTGTTTGCTGGTTCTGGTGAAGCTTGGGTGTGGAATGTTTACTCCCCATTGGGACCGAGCTGACTGGATTTGGCCTCCTATTTAAAAAGGCATTTGGGCCCTCAGGCCTGCAATCCTCAGGCCTGGTTTTAATTGCTTTTGATCAAACATTCTTCTAGGTGGTATAGCACTGGTCTGTCCATTTGCTGTACAGAGGTAACTCATGGTTGCTGTGATGCTAAACACCATGACACTGATGTGTCAAATGCAATAATGGTTACCCATGGTGGGCAGTGTTTGGTGGAGCTCCCCAATTATAAAACAGGCTTGGAAGCTGGAGTGTCCACTTCCGATATAGCTTGCCTCTGGAAACTCTATGAACTTGGAGAAGTGATGAAAGTTATACAAGTGTTCAGGTCTTTCATTCACAGGGTCACTATGTGTCGTCTATGATTCGACAGCACTTAACAAAAACAACAACCTCCTTTATAAACCACTTAACTGTAAGTATGGTCTGTGAGTCCTGTATGGCCATGGTAATAAATTATCAAACCCAGCAGAGAAGTAAAGAGTGTTGTGGGAGGGACAGCTGGTGTCAGAATCTGTAAAAAAGGCTGGAGAGTGGAGACATGTCCAGTCGACACCTCCAAGGAACCAGCCTTGGGCTGATCTTGACTCTCATTATCCTTCCTGAAGTTAAATAATTCTGAGGCTGTAACTATCATTTAGCTGCTGGGCAGCCTTGGGAAGGGGAGTGGACTATGTAGGTGGCTCCTACCCCCAGGGCTTGATGACCTGAAAGCCTGGTAAGCAAAGGTTGGGGAAAGCATGCAGCCTCAAATTCAGAGAACTCTGGGTATCAATTCCAGTCCTGGGGCTTGTGACCATGAGATCTTGAGCCAGTACCCCCATCTCTGAGAGGATTCATCTTAAAAAGAAGAGTGGTTACCCTACAAAGTTTCCCAGCTCAGGACCTATGTGAAAAAGGGGGAAAAGAGGCCATGAGAGAACGTAGTTCTCAAGGGCACACAGCTGTACAGAGCTGTACAGAGCCCTGGCTGGGATTTAGAACCTGAGCTCTTGGCTCCAAAGCCCAGCCCTCTTGCTGGTGCTGACTCCCAGCTCATGTACACAGAGCATCCCTCCAGGTGGCTAGGACCCTCAGGAGACCCTCAAAGCTTAGGTCAGTTACTCGATGAGCTCAGAATTTGAACGATGTCATCCGACTAGGCAGTGGCATCTCTCAGTAACCCTATCCCCAAATCCTCGTCCTCCACCCATACTTAGCACCCTTCACACCAGTCTTCCATCCTTCCTCCGGCCCCTCCTTCCCAGGGCTGACCCATCTGCAACCCCCCACCACTCTCCCTCTCTACACAGCTCTCCTAAGTCTGTGTGATCTCATCTAGGGTCATGGCCTCAGTTACCATCTGTATGTTATCCACTCCTCCAGATCACCACCAGAGCCCAGAATTCCCTCCTGACTCCTCTGGGAGGTCCAGCCATTCCCAGTAACCCCTTACTGGAAAATCAACAGAAGCCTGGATCATGAGCCATTTTCAGAGATTGCACTTACAAACAACACCCCAATTTACCTTGAGGGGACTGCCATGCCCCCACTTCAATGTAGCAGTTGAGTAGAATTGATATGAAGATCACATAACTTAGCCAGGCCAATCAGCATATTTCATTCCTTAGCCACTCCTTATCTATCATGGATTGGTTTAAGGTGGGCATGTGACCCCAGCCAGAACCAATGAAAGTCAGCCCTGGGACTCCAGCTGTCACTACAGGAGAAAAGGATGCTCTTTTTCTGCAGATGTTGCTAAGCTAGGGGGAGAAAAGTTTGAAGGTGCTTGAGAACAGCAACTGCCCAAAATTTATGCCATTGCTCTCTAGCACATATACCTGACAGTGTCACTCCTATGTGTGAATTCCTCTGATGGTTCCCATCTCCAGCAACATTTGGACTATGAATCACTCAAGGACCCCTCAGGGGTCAATGAACCCTATGGAATGAATTGCTATAAAAGATGCAAGTATTTCCCCCTTCATTTTTCTGAGGGGAAGAGCCACACAAGTTTCTGCAGCTTCAAAGAGGGTTAAAAGTTGATGGGTTACTCTTGGTGCACAAAATTTCCTCAGCCTTGAGCTTTGAGGGATCTCATGCTGTCCCCTTCTTTAGCTTCATTCGTCTGTGTGAGTGTGAGTGTGTGTGTGTGTGTGTGTGTGTGTGTGTGTGCTCTGACACTGAGTCAATTCCAACCCACAGAGACTTTCCATCGTGTTTCCAAAGCTGTAAACGTTGACAAGAGTCAGCTGCCCATCTTAGTTCTCAGGAACCACTTGTGGATTTAAACTGCTGGAGATGTACATCTTTTTTTTTTTTCATGATCCAAGAATGTGCTTTTAATTGTAACTGACACACACAAATTACACAGTTAATCTGTGTGAGTGCAAAGTTGCCAAGAAATTTAACATTTCCACTCTTCCAGACTGGCGTCGACAGAGATGCAATCACATGGAGTAAGATACAGTGAGTCTCATTTGCTCAGTGCCATAGGTCTCTGGGGTCGGTAAGGTAAGGAGACTTGGTAAATTTCATTTTCCTCTGAATTAAGTGATTGTCAAAAAGCGACTCGCCCTTCATTTTCCCCTCATTAGGCATGCTGCCATGTAAAAATGCCTATAAAAATACTTTCCTTTTTTTTTTTAGTCTTGAATGTAAATATAACAGTCTAGCATAGAGATATTTAAATAAAAGAGAGAAGAAAACTCCACCGGATACCTTAGGTGTGTTTGTACAGTACTTTTGTTTGTTCAAACAATTCTGTTTTATGACAAAGGCACGGAAAGATTCTGACACCACCTCTGGGGAGCGAGGTCCACAGAGTTCTAATCAGCAGACACTGCTCCACACAAGATGTTTATGTTAGACCAGCCAAACTAAAAACTCTTGTAACACTTCTCTGAACCCAGCGTTTCCAGTGTTTATAGATCGCTTTGCTATTTGAAAGACCCAGTTAGTATTTAAATTTTAAAAGGGTTAAAAAAATATAATAAGGTACTCTTTCTCACTGCAAATTACTACTCACTCACAGCTCAAATTCCACCCTGCAAGGAAAAGTAGCATCACCCTAGATTGCCTGGAATCTAGGCTGGACCTTCACACTGAAGCTGCGACCTGCTAATGCGATCAGCAGTTTGATTTATTTTTTTTCTTCACAGCATTGAAAGCCTCTAATTGGCTTTTCCATTTTGGATCATTCCAAAGTCTGCAGCAAAATCATTGGTTTTAGGATGCTGGCGGGGGTGGGGAGTCACTTAGGTATTGCTTGTTGGTTCAAACTGAGATCTGTTGTGTACAACATTTAGTCGCATTTCCACCAAAATGCTCAGATTCCCCCTATCACAAGCAGGACCATGTGGAGGCTGGCTAGCCTTACACTACAGTTTCGCTACCTTTCCCAGGCTTTACCCAACCGTTCCCTCTCTCCTCCTTCTTTACCTTCCCAGAGTTCACCAATCTGTTGGAACACTTCTGCCATGTGTGAAAAGTTTTGGCAGACCAAATCCACATGCCTGAAGTGATGCCCACCAGCAAAGACATAAAAATTTTTAACATTTCAACTGCCATATTGGAATCATCTGCAGAATACCAGAAGAGGGCCCAGTTGGAGATCTCATAGAAATAACAGGCAATCACACAGGTTGCAGGGACCGTGTACAGTACTGAGAAGACACCAATTTTCACCATCAGCCTCTCCAACTTGTCTGTCTTTGTCCCATCCTTTTGAAGATTTGACCGAATTTTGAACAAGGCCACTAAGCCTGCAGCGATGAAGAGAGTTCCAATCACCAAGTAAGTGAAGAGGGGAGCCACAACGAAGCCAGTGAGGGCATCAAGATTTTGGTTCCCCACATAGCACAGGCCAGTCAGTTCGTCAGCATCCACCAGTCTCATGATCAAGATGACGATGGTTTTCACTGCTGGGATGGCCCAGGCTGCAATGTGGAAATAAGAGCTGTGCATTTCAATGGCTTCATGGCCCCACTTGAGTCCGGCCGCCAAGAACCAAGTGAGGGTCAGAATGACCCACCAGATGGAGCTAGCCATTCCAAAAAAGTACATCAGCAAGAAAATGATTGCACATCCTGTGTTCTTAAGTCCTTCTTGGATGAGAACGGGTTCTGCTGCCTCTTCAAAATCACAGGATATCCTTTCCCGGCCTACAGTCAGCCTCACAATATGAACAATGCTATAAATATTATAGCACATACTGAGAAATATGATGGGGCGCTCAGGGTAGGAGAACCTGGAGGAGTCAATGAGGAAGGTGAGGACAGTGAAGGCAGTCGAGATGAAGCACAGGCTGGCCCATA